ATCCCTGCTGTGCCCCAGGGTCCGCAAAGTACGCACACTGCGACACGCTCCGTTTTGCTAATGACGCCACCTCTCCTTCCCCTCCATCCCCTTTGCTGCGCTGACATGCAAACCCACACCAAATTTCACACCCCACCCCAGGGCCCTGTTGGAGAACCTGCTCGTCTACCGCCTCCGCCTCACCCTGCTGAACAAGAGTGTGTGGCTCGCCATCGTCAACACGGCGGGCGACAACGCCGCCTGCCTGCTGGCCGTGCCGGGCCTGCTGGTCTTTGCGGCCGCGTCGCTGGGCGTGGAGTGGCTGGCGCTGGCGCTGCTGAGGCGGGAGCAGCGGGTGGGCCGGTCGACAGCACTGGGAAGCTGCCCTTCAGGGGCTTCGGGAAGCTGTCCCGCTCCCGAACAGACATCGAGGGTTGAGAGCTGCACGCAGTCTCCAATGGAAGGGCGGCTGCCGGGTCCTGCTTGAGCCTCAGTCCCGCAGGCCCGTGGAAGTTTTGAAACCTCCCTTTGAACCCTCTGATTCCAACGCTACCCCTGCAGTCTGTCCGGTTGGCCCAGACCGTCGGACTTCCTCCTGTCCCTCCATGCCCCCCATCCTCCCCTTCTCTAGGAGGACTCGGCTCTGGGCAAGAAGCTAGATGACATCACGACCACGCCCAGCGCCGCGGACGACGACGCGTCCCCGTTTGTGGACGACCAGAGCGGCCGTGCGATGCGGCGCTTGCGCGCCCACCGTCACGAGCTGGTGGTGGTGCCGCTGGCGGTGGCAAACTGCGTGCTGAGCCTGCTGCTGCCCTGCATGCTAGTCTTCAGGCTGGAGGTGGGCGGCTGGCTGGCCGGCTGGGTCATCTGGCAATGTCCCTGTTCAGATAGCATCGGTCCATTGTTGTGCAAGGATGAGTGCAAAGGATGGTAGCAATTGTGGGTCTTTCCTGCCAGGTTGCAAGGATGGTCAGAGTGCAAAAGTTTGCTCGCCGAATGCGCATCAAACAGTACAGCGCAGGCGGCAGCTCAGCCGCAGCCACGCACTCGCTCCGCTGTCGATCGGGGCAGGAGCACCTGCACCATGCACCGACGCCCTCTGCACTCTCTCATCCACCCAACGGTCTGCCGGCCTGCCCGCCATCCCCGCCCCTCCCTTCTCAACCCCCAGGCGCACCCCTTCCCCGCGCTGCTGCTGACACTCAGCGCCTTAGTCATACAGATGAAGGTGCGACAGGGCCGCAGGGCGGCAGCAACACAGCCGACGCGGGCTCGGCCCCTCCCTGGTTGCCAAGGGGGTTGGGGACCGCACTGTCGCTGTTTGACACTTGCGGCACTTGGCATGAATGACACGGCAGCACCCCAACAAATCGCAATCGCAACATCGAAAGACGCACTCGCACACTCCCACAAGCGAGCCTGCCATGATGAAAAGGCTGAGGAGCACCCAACACCCCTGCACCATATGGCGGCCGGCGACTGAGTTACCCTGCCCTCATGAAACTTCAGCACTGCCCCCTCCCCCTCCCCCCACACACAGCTCATGTCCTACCACCACCACAACTGGCACCTGCGCACCATCCGCCGCCGCCGCGGCCCCGGCGCGCGCGCGCCCGGCGAGCGCGGGGGCGGCGGCGGGGACGAGGTGGAGGCGCCCTGGTGCGCGCTGGCGTACCCGGAGAACCTCACAGTGAACAACATGCTGTTCTTCCTGGCGGTGCCCACCCTGACGTACCAGGTGAGAAGTGGGTGCGCCCAGTTGGGTTGGCGCGCCGCTGCAGCAGGTCCGTGGCCATGCGCCCTGGGCAGGGGTCTCAGGATCTGGTTGCTGCATCTGAGGTCGCGCCTGAGATCCCGCCCGCACTGCTCCGTTCCCATGCGCTCGTCTGGTGTGGTCGAGACATCCGCCCTCAAAATTGCTTGGAGCCTCCGCTCGTGGTTGGGGCCTGTTCATCGCGCATCACTCCAACCTCCGCAGCCTCTACAGCCACAGCTTGCAAAGCACTCCCCGCCAACAATCCCAACCACCCTTCCGCAGGTCAACTACCCGCTGCTGCCCAACCGCCGCCCGCGCATGCTGCTGCGCTGGGTGCTGATGCTCCTCGCCCTCGCCAGCCTGCAGCTGCTCATGTGAGCAGGGCCAACGCGCGGGCGCGTGCGCCTGAGGCGGGCGCGGCTCTTGCCGGCAACAGCTAGTTGCTGTTGTTGCTGGTGTGGTGGCGCTATGCAGCCGCCTGCTGCTTGCTGTGAATGAGCTGAGGGTTGCAACGTGCCAACCCGCTGACCGGCATTCAAATGAACCCAGGCGCATCTGCACACTGCATGCAGCTCCTTCTCCTCATGCACACCAGAAATCAGCCCGCCATTTTTCAACCTTCACCGAGCCGGTTTCGACTAAATGCCACCCACAGAGCTGCTGCCGCTGACACAATTTTTCAAATCACTGGTTTTTGTTTCTCGCTATTACAGGATCGACCAGCTGCTGGTGCCCGCCATGCTGTCCGGCCTCAAGCCCCTGGCGGACCTTGACTGGTGGCACTTCTGTGAGAGGGTGCTGGGACTGGCGCTGCCCAACCTCTATGTGTGGCTCTTAACGTTCGTCATCGTGAGTAGGCGCGGCTGCGGATGTGATGCATGCTATTCTATGTGGCATGGTACGGCACAGGCGCAGGCGGGTGGGCGCAGGCGGTTGTCCAGCGGGAGCCGCGGGGCCGGCACGCAGAGAGGGGGGGTCCCCCTGGCGCCCAGGGACAGCGAGCGCGCACCTGGTCCACCCCATGCGGGCCAGCCCTGTCGCAACCCGCGCTTTCAGCCTCATCCTTTTTCCAGCCCTCCAAACTTCGCACACGCCGAAGCACAAAGCTTGGAAGCTTCCCCCCCCCCCC